AACGTCAAGAGTTTGCGCAGCGCTTTACAATATAAGGGAGACAGTACAATTACAATACATTTCAGTACAGAAGGAATAGGAGGGCCCTGCTCATGGAGCTTACAACCTAAAGGAAGGGGGATTCTAGAGTACAGAATTTATACTGAAAAATATAGTCTAGTTAAAAGAGAATTATGTGATTTTTTTTTTAAATATACTTCGTTGGATGCAACATTGATCGTTGCTGCATTTGTCTCCCCGCTGGTTCTAAGGCTGAGAACTGAGTGATCACTCCTGCTTGCTGCAAAAGCTTGTTATAGGTTGGGAGGTTGGGGTGGTTGCCATTTGTTTGTTTAATTGCTGTATTGGTGCAAGGATGCACTGGATACCTTCAGCTGACATTGTGCCCTTGCTGGGTGTCCTGTGCGTCATTGTACCTTTAAGGAGGGGTGGACTCCCTCCAGGCACACCTGCCTTTAATCTATCCATTATTATACAATATATGTGCTCCAACTTGGAAGACTCTCAAAGTTATAGAGGTAGGATTGCACTGGGGTGCATTGACGTGGCCACTGCAGCTTACACATATATTTGCAAATGTTTGCAATCGAAACCCCTCGTTTTTAACGTGAACTGTTAGACAGGGTCAGTTTGGTTCTGTTGCAGGCTGGTCGGTAAGTGAGTTAGGAATTCCATTCTATAGTCCAAAACAAAGAAGACTCAGTACCCCATGTGTCATGTGATTGTGGATTCAGCTAAGTAAAGGGGGGCTTTTGAGTAGTTTATGGGGTAGAGGGTAGGGAGTAGGAAAAAAAAGCCTAGTGGTAAGGGAGAGATGTTTTCTGGACATGAGATTTAAGAACACCTTGGGAAGGTTTAGAATGTCTATGAAATGTTAATTGCAGCTTACCAGTCCAGGTGTGTTCTTAGGTGCTTTTGCTACCTTAGTTCATGTCTCTTCTGAAATCAGATCAAGGCTTGGTAGGTTGCAACCTGCAATATCAAAAGTAACGTGTGAGGTGGTGTTATTGCTGTTGGTATATGCAGAGTATTGACACTTTCATCTGATCAAACACAAAACTCTTGTCCTCACTTATGTACATATGGAGGCTATTGAGAATCCATGTTCTCAGTGCATTGGGAATACTGCACATGTGTTTTCTTGTTTAAAAGAAAATAAATGCTACTTGTAAATGTGACATTTTCCCCCATCATCTGGTAAAGTTGATGTCTTTAAATGTGGCCTATGTTTTACAAACAAACTACATGCTTTTCATAGCTTTTCATAGCTCACCGGCCAAAAACTTCTAAAGAGATAAACAATAGGGATTAGATGCTCTTGGTGGTCAGCAAAGCATTCTGTAGTTTTCAATATCACTCAATGTATGTTGCTCATGTGTTTCTGTGGATTAACAAAGGTTGAGTAGATTGGGACACGTCTTTGTGGTAAAAGTAAGGGGTTCTTTACCTCCCACAGCGGACAGTTCTTGGCGGTCCAACCACCAAAATGTAATTGTTCTTTGAGAGAAAGGAGTGTGTGGTGGAACTAGATTATTACAAGCAGAAATGGACATTCAACTGCAACACGTCAGATATTGTGCTACAGTATGTTCATTATTTTCATAGTGTGAACAGTTCTCTAAGGCTGGCCATGCATGGATTGTTTTTTCTGATCAGCTAGCAGGCTGATTGAAAAAAAAAAACAATGGGTTCCCTCATTATTATTATTATTATACAGTATTTATCAAGCGCCGATAGTTCGCTCAGCGCTGTACATTACAAAGAGGGACAGAACATGTGACAGAACAATAACAATACAATGCAAAACATGAGAGGATCGAGGGCCCTACTCTTTCGAGCTTATCCACAAATGTCAGAATACACTGATCATCACTGCAGCGTATTGACTACAGCACTGATCGAAGGAAAATTTTCCAACAAGCTGGTTTGAGAGAAGTTGATCATTAGATCAACTTCTCTGGAACAGGAATGGCCATAAATGGATTGAAACTAAGCTGGTTCCTGCTGAACCAGACATGTTTTGGTCCATTTATGGGCAGCTTAAGAACTACACCCTTACTATACTCAAAATGAGAATTAAGCTGGGCCCCATGCCTCCCACCTTTTTCTCTTCATTGCTGACCCATCACTGCCACTTTTGTCTCATTGGTCCATAGCAACTATCAGGTGGCAGAAGGGAGGCGGCCAGGCTTTACAAACCAAAGCATTCCAGAATTTGGGGGAAAGGAAGCAAGCTGCTAAAAGGAATTTGACCAGGTATTCAGGCATCTGGGCATGTGTGTTACATCACACAAGTGAAGATTTAAAGCTGAACTCAAAGGTGGTATTGCCCTGGGGAACATGTACCATTTCAAAAAAAGTTTTTGAAAATAGAAAACTGTTTAAATTGCTGGCAAATAACATTTTCCTTCTGGCTTCTATAAAAAAAAAAAACACACAACACACTGAGCCCTCCCAGTGTCCCCAAAAATAAGTCATCAGCTATATAAAAGAAGGAGCTTGGATAGTAGTGACCTCATTGACCAAATTTGGCCATGGCCAGATCTGGTCAATGTCATTGGCCAGTGACCCTATTTGGGAAGTGATGTCACTGCCATTCCCACCCCTTTGCTTATGTGGTCGGGGATTCCTGGCCATGTAAGCAGTGCAACAGTGGCTTCCTTAGGGAACCAGGTGAGCAAAATTCTGAGTTTAAAAGTACAGTACAGTCCAGAGGCTGCATTTGACTGCAGTACGTTATGTTGCACTTTTTTTTTGGAACCACCATGTCCTACTTGGGTGCATTTGGACTGCAGTAAACACTGCGTTTTGCATTAGAACACAGCTGTATGCTTTCAAATTAAAAACTCAGCGTTTGACAAAAACTCATGTCCACCCTGTTGACATGAGCCACTAGAAAGTGTAGGGAATGGTTTGGAAACGTTGGTGGGCTTTATCGTAATCTGTGTCCCTGCTGGGCAGTTTAACCCTCTCTGTTAGTACAGCTGACCCTTGTCACCAAGACAGAAAATGATGGCAATCCACAATATATCTGTTGTCAATGATACAGGAAATGAGGGGAAATCTTTCACTTTATGTGTTGTATCTTCCAGGTTTCTCTAGAACGGGACACTGACAGTAAAAAATTAAACCTTCTGTTGGTTTTAACAATTCCCTGCTTACTCCAGCCTTTCTCTTCAATATAAGCCAGTGCCATGCCTTTTGTGTAAAATTCCTATAGCTATCATGCGTTTTTGTACAAAGTCAGCTGAATGTGAGTGAATCAGATTGATTAGACATTTAAGCCTTTGCTGAATCTACTAGTTTAGTAGGATGCCTTGTGTCTTGTATTTCCATCTCTTTGCCCTTTTATTTCATGACATCGAGAAAAAACAGGAATAAAATAAGTAATAGGAATCAACTATTGATTTGAGTAGTGTGCAGAGAATGCTGTTTGTTATGTAGAGAAGGGACCGAAGTACAAAATTACATTCACTGCAAATTGCTTCCATTTGTTTTGTCGTAGGCTGACTCCTTAATTGACAAAGAACACCAGAACTTCTACAATGCTTCCCTGGAGTATATCTTTAAAGTGCAAGAAGTACAAGAAAAGAAGAAATTTGAATTTGTCGAGCCTGTAAGTATAAATATTTAATATATGTAATACCTTAAAGTAAAACTAGGACAAAGTAAGAACGTCACTTAAAGTGGAACTCCACCCAAAAGGGAAAGCTCCATTTCTTTGCATCCCCCCTCCACTTCCAAATTTGGCACATTTTGGGGAGAGGGGGGAGCTGGTACATGGTTTTTGACAGGTACCCATTCCCATTTCCAATCCGATCACTGTAATGACTTTCAGCCTCTCCTCCTTCCCCCCTCAGCCTTCTGGGACACATCACAGGTCCAAGAAGACTGTGGGACCATTCACAATGTGCAGCGTGGCTTGTGCATGTGCAGTAGGAAACTGGTTGTGAAACTGGAAGACTTTGCCGCCAGTTTCCCTTACCTAAGATGCTGGCGCCTGCACCCGAAGCCAACTGAAGAATCAGCTCAGGTGAGGACATCACTGAATTTCTGGACAGGTAAGTGCCCTTGTATTAAAAGAAAGCAGTTACGATATTTGTAGCTGCTGACTTTTAATTTTTGGAGGAGACTGGAGCTCCTCTTTAACTATATCCTTCCCCAACAGCATATATTCACCTTTCATTTGCTGCGTTAAACAAAGTAAAATACTCCAAATTCTAGAGAATTGGTTAGCATGTGATTAACTCCCCTTTCACAATATGATAGCATTGGTGCCTTGTGGTTGGCCCAGCACTATCACATGACAGTGGGGGAAGAGTCCAGAGCTCTGTGTAAGCTCCAGCATGTCAGTTTAATGCTCGCACAAGGCTTACATTCTCTGGTCCTGGGGGGCGAATATAGCAAAGGAAAGGAGAATCTTTACAGTGGACCTGAGCTCAAAAATGTAAGATTTCCTATGTTATAATTAGAGTAGAATTCCGGTCAAAACCTAACGACTCTTAAAAATGCTCCCTCCCCCCTCCTAACACCTAATCTGAATAACCTGTGCAAGAAAGAGCTGTATAGTTACCTATTTGCAGGCTGCTCTGGTCACATGATCTGACTCCCTTCTCTCAGATGGTGGCAGCTGTAGGAGAGAGGAGGAAGCACTGACAATGAATGGGCTATAGGAGCCAATAGTTGATATAACTGCTCCCAGGCATTACTAGCCATTGTCAAGTCCTCTCTCCTCTCCCCTGCAGCCAGCGTTGGCTGACACAGGGGATCACGTGATGGCAACATAGTGGCCTAAAAATAGGTGGGTATACAGATCTTTCTAAGGCTCCAAGTATGCGGGCCTACCCTGGCCGCCGGCCATGGGAAAACGCAAATCGTAGAAAAACCACATCAAAATCGCTGTACCATGGTTTTGCTGCAATTTACGTTTACCTACGGTCGATGGTCAAAACCTTCCTATCCTGAACGTGATTCTTCCACATTCAGGAGAGGGAGGTCTAACCTCCCTGGCGGTATTCCCGAGTGTAGCTCAGATTAAAGTTTCAGTACCACAAGCGGTAACCTCGAGCTATACTCGAGAATACCATGCGGCGCTGCTCCGTGATCCCTCGGTCACTTACCTTGTCCTGCGCTCCCGCGATGTCCCTCCTGCAGTGTCCCCGGCAATGTAATCCGGCGGATGTCGGCATCTGTCTTCTGGGTTCCGTCCCCTGCGAGCGTCGGGACGTACGGGGGACAGAACGGCGGGAAATTTGAAAATGACAAAAAGTTACATTCACTAATATCACATAGGAAAACATTACTGTATCAAACCATTTCACATACATTTTGTCCCGAATGCTTTGTCCTGCGCCCTGCCTGCATTTTTACTGTTCTTATTGCCTGGAAACTGAGAAACGTCCATGGCGTCCGTTTAGGTCATAAGCGGTTTTAGACTGGCTAGAGAACAGCGATAGTAAATCAGAACCACTTGCAGAATTGAGTGATAATGATTTGTGGGGAAATTCGTCATCAGACACTGAAAACAATTTTGCGACTTTGCTCAGTGATGTGTGAACTTGGCGCTATATTTCAAATTTCAGTGTTTTTGGTTTGATTAAATTTATTATTATTATTATATTATTATCTTTATGATTATTTACTAAATTATAATTTATGATTTCGTATTTAAAGTTTTATCCTACCCGGGATGTTTACTAGACTCTTGTTCGGACAGATTTTAGTGAGTTATTCCTAAGAATTACAGGCCTACAATAAAAAAAATACATATTTCCATGCAAAAAAATGTACCGCTTTGAGCACAGAAATACTGACATCATCAGACCGATAGGGAGGCTACTGCATTTAAGTTGGTTTACATTTCAAATTGTTGTAATCATTACCGGAGTGTAATTTTGATGAAAACCAAATGTTTGTTTGTTGTACCTTGTTTGCATGATGCTACTCCATTTAGATATGCTGTAAATAGATTCAGCTACTGGCTATATGTACATCAGCCATGCACCTGTTGAAGTGCTGAGATGAAATATTTAGTAAGGATAAGCCACCTACAGGCTGTGTATCTTCTAATGAATCCTTTTGGGTTCGAGATGACCCATAGACATTGAATGGATAAAAGGAAAGCACAACCACTGCTCTGCAGTGTTCAAACTGTCTGCTCTGCCTACATAAAATAATAATAAAAATACAAAGTTGATCTTTACTTCCTAATTTAGCCTTGTTCCCTACAGCATGCAGTATTTTTTTTTCAGCACAGCTCGAGCTGCAGCCAATAGAACTTATTAAAATGTTGCTTGTGACATTTCAATAACATCCTAATCAAAAAGAAATAAAAGTAAATGCGCCAGATTTGGTGCGTCTGTACTATTTTTCCTGGTACATACCTACTTCCATGTTTTCAGCACAGCTGCTGGTGTGAACTTGTCATTATTTGTAGGGTAGGGAGTGGGAAGTAGGCACCGGGTAAAGCATCTATGGGTTTATTATTTTGATGATTTCTCTTCACTTACTCTCTTGAAGACGCAACAGGAAATGAAAGAAAAACTTCTTAAAGTGAAGGGAATTTCCACCTTCAACAGTTGTCCCCGGAACAGTTGCCCCTATTGGATAATTGACCCTCATTTCTTGGTTTGGTAACCATTTCAGATTTACACTCACTTTCTGTCTTGGACAATGATCACCAGGACTAAAAGAGGGTTAAATCTCCAGAGTTGGGACACAGACGGGAATATTCCTTCCACGTGCTATGCAAAGGTTTTGCTTTAACATTCACTTTAAAGGGACACTTGTACATAAAAAGGCTTACCCGTTAAAGAAGCAGTTCTTTACTTACTTTTCCATGGCCCACTTTCCGTGTAAGGGCCTACCTGTTACAAGCATTTTGGCCTTTGAAGGAGTTGAATGCTTGTGACCCCTGCCATCTGCTGGGATTCCTCCTGCCTGCCGCCTTGGACATAAATAAAGGACAAGCCAGGGGAGTGTTCCTTACATTGGCCTGCCGGAAAGTTAAAGTAGAAGCACAGTCAAATCCTAGCTATACTTAAAACTGCTCCTACCATCATTCTAAGCCTAATCTAACTACCCTGTAGAGCAGTGGTTCTCAACCTTTCTAATGCCGCGACCCCTTAATACAGTTCCTCATGTTGTGGTGACCCCCAACCATAAAATTATTTTCATTGCTACTTCATAACTGTAATTTTTTGGCAGTGGGAGGAGTAGTGCCATGTCATTGGTGTCAGTGGAAGGAGTAGTGCCCCATCACTGATGTCAGTGGGATGAATAGTGCCCCATTGTTGGTATCAGTGGGAGGAATAGTGCCCCATCGTTGGTATCAGTGGGAGGAATAGTGCCCCATCACTGGTGTCAGTGGGAGGAATAGTGCCCCATCACTGGTGTCAGTGGGAGGAATAGTGCCCCATCACTGATGTCAGTGGGATGCATAGTGCCCCATCGTTGGTGTCAGTGGGAGGAATAGTGCCCCATCGTTGGTGTCAGTGGGAGGAATAGTGCCCCATCGTTGGTGTCAGTGGGAGGAATAGTGCCCCATCGTTGGTGTCAGTGGGAGGAATAGTGCCCCATCGTTGGTGTCAGTGGAGGAATAGTGCCCCATCGTTGGTGTCAGTGGGAGGAATAGTGCCCCATCGTTGGTATCAGTGGGAGGAATAGTGCCCCATCGTTGGTATCAGTGGGAGGAATAGTGCCCCATCGTTGGTATCAGTGGGAGGAATAGTGCCCCATCGTTGGTATCAGTGGGAGGAATAGTGCCCCATCGTTGGTATCAGTGGGAGGAATAGTGCCCCATCGTTGGTGTCAGTGGGAGGAATAGTGCCCCATCGTTGGTGTCAGTGGGAGGAATAGTGCCCCATCGTTGGTGTCAGTGGGAGGAATAGTGCCCCATCGTTGGTGTCAGTGGGAGGAATAGTGCCCCATCGTTGGTGTCATGTGGAGGAATAGTGCCCCATCGTTGGAGTCAGTGGGAGGAATAGTGCCCCATCGTTGGTGTCAGTGGGAGGAATAGTGCCCCATCGTTGGTGTCAGTGGGAGGAGTAGTGCCCCATCGTTGGTGTCAGTGGGGGAGTAGTGCCCCATCATTGGTGTCAGTGGGGGGAGTAGTGCCCCATCATTGGTGTCAGTGGGGGGAGTAGTGCTCCATCACTGGTGTCAGTGGGGGAGTAGTGCCCCATCACTGGTGTCAGTGGGAGGAGTAGTGCTCCATCACTGGTGTCAGTGGGAGGAATAGTGCCACATCATTGGTGTCAGTGGGAGGAGTAGTGCCCCATCATTGGTGTCAGTGGGAGGAGTAGTGCCCCATCATTGGTGTCAGTGGGGGAGTAGTGCCCCATCATTGGTGTCAGTGGGGGGAGTAGTGCCCCATCATTGGTGTCAGTGGGGGAGTAGTAGTGCCCCCCCATCATTGGTGTCAGTGGGGGGAGTAGTGCCCCATCACTGGTGTCAGTGGGGGGGAGTAGTGCCCCATCACTGGTGTCAGTGGGAGGAGTAGTGCTCCATCACTGGTGTCAGTGGGAGGAGTAGTGCCACATCATTGGTGTCAGTGGGGGGGAATAGTGCCCCATCATTGGTGTCAGTGGGGGGAGTAGTGCCCCATCATTGGTGTCAGTGGGGGAGTAGTGCCCCATCATTGGTGTCAGTGGGGGGAATAGTGCCCCATCACTGGTGTCAGTGGGGGGAGTAGTGCCCCATCACTGGTGTCAGTGGGGGGAGTAGTGCCCCATCACTGGTGTCAGTGGGGGGAATAGTGCCACATCACTGGTGTCAGTGGGAGGAATAGTGCCCCATCATTGGTGTCAGTGGGAGGAATAGTGCCCCATCATTGATGTCAGTGTGGTGGAGGGGAGAATAGTGCCCCATCATTGGGTCAGTGGGGGGGGGGGGAAATAGTGCCCCATCGTTGGTGTCAGTGGGGGGGAAATAGTGCCCCATCATTGGTGTCAGTGGGAGGAATAGTGCCCCATCATTGATGTCAGTGTGGTGGGGGAGAATAGTGCCCCATCATTGGGGTCAGGGGGGGGGGGGGGAAATAGTGCCCCATCATTGGTGTCAGTGGGGGGAAATAGTGCCCCATCACTGGTGTCAGTGGGGGAGGAATAGTGCCCCATCGTTGGTGTCAGTGGGGGGGAGGAATAGTGCCCCATCGTTGGTGTCAGTGGGGGGGAGGAATAGTGCCCCATCGTTGGTGTCAGTGGGGGAGGAATAGTGCCCCATCGTTGGTGTCAGTGGGGGGGAGGAATAGTGCCCCATCGTTGGTGTCAGTGGGGGAATAGTGCCCCATCGTTGGTGTCAGTGGGGGGAGGAATAGTGCCCCATCATTGGTGTCAGTGGGAGGAATAGTGCCCCATCATTGATGGTGTCAGTGGGGGGAGAATAGTGCCCCATCGTTGGGGTCAGGGGGGGGGGGGAGGAATAGTGCCCCATCGTTGGTGTCAGTGGGGGGAGGAATAGTGTCCCATCGTTGGTGTCAGTGGGGGGAGGAATAGTGCCCCATCATTGGTGTCAGTGGGAGGAATAGTGCCCCATCATTGATGTCAGTGGTGGAGGGGAGAAATAATAGTGCCCCATCATTGGGTCAGGGGGGGGGGGGGGAAATAGTGCCCCATCGTTGGTGTCAGTGGGGGGAGGAATAGTGCCCCATCGTTGGTGTCAGTGGGGGGAGGAATAGTGCCCCATCGTTGGTGTCAGTGGGGGGGAGGAATAGTGCCCCATCGTTGGTGTCAGGGGGGGGGGGAATAGTGCCCCATCGTTGGTGTCAGTGGGGGGAATAGTGCCCCATCGTTGGTGTCAGTGGGGGGAGGAATAGTGCCCCATCGTTGGTGTCAGTGGGGGGAGGAATAGTGCCCCATCGTTGGTGTCAGTGGGGGAGGAATAGTGCCCCATCGTTGGTGTCAGTGGGGGGAGGAATAGTGCCCCATCGTTGGTGTCAGTGGGGGGAGGAATAGTGCCCCATCGTTGGTGTCAGTGGGGGGAGGAATAGTGCCCCATCGTTGGTGTCAGTGGGGGGAGGAATAGTGCCCCATCGTTGGTGTCAGTGGGGGGGAGGAATAGTGCCCCATCGTTGGTGTCAGTTGGGGGGAGGAATAGTGCCCCATCGTTGGTGTCAGTGGGGGGGAATAGTGCCCCATCGTTGGTGTCAGTGGGGGGAGGATAGTGCCCCATCGTTGGTGTCAGTGGGGGGAGGAATAGTGCCCCATCGTTGGTGTCAGTGGGGGGAGGAATAGTGCCCCATCGTTGGTGTCAGTGGGGGGAGGAATAGTGCCCCATCGTTGGTGTCAGTGGGGGAGGAATAGTGCCCCATCGTTGGTGTCAGTGGGGG